TATTATTTAAATTATCTGTTGTTAATAAATGTTGAAAACGATACAAATCTTGACCAATCCCCCATTTTATTTTGACCTCGCAAATCTTAAATATAAAAATCCCTCTATAAACTGTAGCGGCTACGCAAACTATATACACATTACCGTGAAAACATGCAGAGATTACTACGTCGTAAATACTACATCGGAATAATAATATAATATGGATAAGGAACTTTTGGGGTATGAATAATTATTTTACTGTAATTTACGAACATACAAGTTATAAAGTATAGAGCTACATGTACGATAACAAGTAAAGTTAGAAATTCACGAAAGGTAGCAGTCTACCATACTTTCATTTTCTGAAAATGGCGAAAATCTGCCGAAAAATCTTTCTTCGGACAAAATGACAGACCGTTTGGAAGTTTTACCTGAAAAATCGCGGAATTCGGTCGGACTTTGTCCACGTCCGACCAGCTATTTCCAGGCATGCATGCTCAATCCATGCCCCCCTTCTAAGAATGGGTAACATTATTTGGCACACCCTGCCGTTTGGAATGTGTTATCATTACAAAACCTCTTATAAGATTTCGATGACACAATGTATTATTATAACATTATAACATTGTAAATATTAGTCATTTTCTCACTAAACTGTTCCTTTCTTTTTCTACTTTGTGCACCACTCTATTTATTGTATCTATATGATTTGCATAAATCTATAAAGTATTATTTAATGGTTAAAATTGAAATAAGTGTACATGATTTCCACTTCAATATGCTAAATTTGTACTATGGCCGTAAGGCTTCAATACATGAATACAGATTATTATTATAATACTTAAAAGATCAGGATACTATACAAATACATTCAGTTTTTCTTCCTATTCCGATATCTGACGATATCTGATAAGGGCATGCGTGTTTTAGTGCAATGTCAATGCAATGACGAAAAATCATAAACACCCACTGAGTACCCTAATTCTTGAGGGATTACGATCGTGATATGTAAGACTAGCCTACTGTATGATTGATTCAGTAGTGTATGGTAAAACAATTAGTCACATTTTCATACTACTTGTAGTAGTAGTACTATTACTATAGTAGTGACATATTTTACAGCTAGTCAAACACCTGAACACGCCCCTAGCATCGGCTAATTACTGACGGTATGTTTCTTCAACCATTATCAATAATGAAATGGGGTTTAACGTCCCACTGTTCTGTACCGACATGATCTAATGAAGACAAGCATGCGTCCAACACAATCTGTTTCACAGAGAATTACGAGTCTCGTATAATATCTCTGTCATAGATGACTGCCTTAACACGTGCTGTCACAGCACGCGGTGTGAATCATTGGCTGAATGGCGCGTGCATTGTTTACATAAGAGATAACTGCTTCGGAGAGAATGCTGCATTTTAGTCATTTTAATACCCATTTACACTAAATCGGAAATAATTTTTACCTACAAATACGTCAAACGCCTTTATTTATTTTTCCAATATATACAAAAAATGTTTTAGAAGTTAATATTTCTAGCTCATTAAGCCGCATCAATGTCATCCTTATCAGTGATTGTCGCGGCCAAGCAAATATTCACTGCGGATCAGTGTGCGTCCAACAGTGTACTATGAGAGAAACTGTGCCCGGACAGCAGCGTTACGGCCTACTCTTATATCGAATTCCAAGTATCAAGTGTTCTTTTACGTGCACGCCAATATGTACACAAGATCTCGGTTTTTCGTTCCACCCGAACGATTAGACACTGTTTCTTATCAGATCCTCCTTACTACATCACTTACAAGTGAATACCACTCCGGAAAAACACCGGAATCGAACCCTTGACCTTTAGGTTAGCGGACCAGCACTATATTCATTGCGCAACCGCGACTCCCCACTGTACAGTAGTTTCAAGTAATGATGTCTGTCATTTAAATATTTATAACATATTTGTAAACGTCCTCATTTGTAAATGAACGGTATAATATGTATGTTCTTCCTCAATCAGACCCGGTGTGGCAGTTTCAGATGGTTCCTGGTGTGTGATTACCGTTTGGCGCATGCGCAGTTGTAGGAGTCAACTCACACCGTTACAGTCGCGGTGTGCATTGACTCCTCGTGATGGATTTCCCCTAAGATTTTCTTACGGTCAAATCAATATATAGACTATTATGTACCGATATTTACAGTATTACCACCACGAGAGGATGCAAATTGACGATCTTTATTATTATTATTTAGTATATATACCCGTCCAAAATGCGAACATTCTCTCTTGTATTTGGGCTGTCTACATACATGCATGTTTGAATGTATGGGATGGTATAATAAATCTATATTTATGTTAAAGAAATCGGAATAAGAAATTCCATACTTTTATATTTGTGATAAAAGAAGCCACGAAATATCAAAGGCCTTAATCTTCCTTTGGAGGTGAATTAATTGATAATTTCAAGCCAATCATCAATTTGTATGGTTTCCACTGATCGTACGTGTGTAGAACGACTAATCACTAAAAATAAAACCAACGGCAACAAATCACGAACGATAGAAGTATCAATTTCAAGCCAATCAACTTAGATCCGTTGATCGTGTAACTACTCATCACTAAAACAACAGCTAATCACGATAACAAGTATGTTTATTAATGACAAAACTCTAATCAAGTACATGATATACTTTTTCCTGTACTGACCAGGAACCAACTCGCACCGCAGGGAGTAGATATAGTTTCGTTGTTACGGCAAACATCAGTTTCGGACATGCGCAAGTGCCCAGGAGAAAACACGCACCAGGATTCAACTCAAACTATCACACCGGGTTCAATGACAGTTAGACGACCCCATGTATATCTACGTGACAGTATTGTCGTATATCATCCACCGTGTAATACTTCCCTTTTCAAATCAAACAATATCACATGTATTATATTATACCCACTCATTCGATAAGTTGGTCAACATGACTGGAGCCACGGTGGCTCAGTGAGTAAGATGCTTGCCCGCTAACCCGGAGGTCCCCTACGAACCCGGTTTCGACCGAGAAAGTTCATCGGATTTTCCGTGTACATATTGGCGTGCAAGTAAAATAACCCTTGACACTGTGAATTCGATATAAGAGTATAGGCCGTAGCGCCGCTGTCCGGGCAAAATTTCCCTCATAGCACACTTTATAGCGCATGCCCGTCTTCATTAGTATAGTCGGAACAGAACAGTAGGACGTTAACCCCATTTCATGTCGTCAATATGGCTATTATATGGTGTGTATACCATACACTGTTCCCTCAAAAGCCGTGTGCGCACACATATTTTGCAACGAGCGCACAAAGGGCATTAAGGTGTGCACATATTTAAAAGACATGAACAATCATTTGAGTATTCATGTGCCACCACATCACTTAAAGTGGCCTACACGGCTAGTTATAATTTGCCTATACGTTTTTTTTGTTTCGCATATATACCATTGTCATGAGAATACGATTTGATTTGCATATGATAAGCATACTACGAACGTTGAATAATGTAGACAACATTGAAAATGGGCTTCCATTCCTGTTTAGGAATGCACTATGGCGTGAAACCCCAAAACAACAATGTATGCATTTGACAAACTAATTGGTCAACCGTGTATTTCGATGCTTTTCTTTAAAGGACAATATTGGTGTCAGCTATTATCACATATGTGATAGAACTCGTTAAACACGTTCCAAATATAATTTTAACACAGAGATCATTGCTACAATAGATGAGTAGTGAAGGTTTCTACAAAAGGAAGTGACGAACACGAAAGATTAACACGAGTGATAACAAGATATACGGGCGTATTTCTGCTCACTAACAATTCCTTCGAAGACCAAAAGTTGTTATGTGAGACTGTGAAGAGGATATCTGACAATTTCAAAAAAGTAATTGAATGTCAATAGATAAGAGAACACGAGAAAAATCGAAATAGTCCTACACCAGGGCCCTTATTCACGAAAACTTAAACTAAGATACAATCGAAATTTTAAGAAATACTGCAATTCGATTGGCTGACCAGTAAAATCAATTTGCATATTTCCAATGAAGTTGCAGTATTTCTTAAAATTTCGGTTGTAACTTAGTTTAAGTTTTCGTGAATAAGGGCCCAGGGCTCCAATGCATTTTTACAGACAAAAAAACAAATTACCACGGTGTAATTTAAGCTCATTTACAATTGAAGAAACATTCATCTATAAAAGACCTTTGAACCGTTGACTAATACAATTGAAATACATTTGAAATAACTTCCTATAGAAATCGTTCGTGCGTATTGTTTATCAGATAATGTCGTGTTTTATCAGACACATCTGTACTTTGGCCCAACGTTAACTGTGATATTGTCAGAGGCCTGGGTTACATGGATTTATGGGGGGGGGGGACTTTCGCTGGTCAGGGATGGACTGAGGACTGGAGGCCCCATAGTCTGGCCCCGTGAAGGGTTCCACTCAATGCACAAAATGTTTAGAAAAACGGACTAAAAATGGCGCTTGATAAAGTTAGGTTCCAACATATGACGAAATCGTGTTTTTAATCGTGGAGTATTCGTTGACTCTACCAGGTCTCATCGTATATTGATGTTTCTAACTTAAGCACAAATTTAGTTGCAATCTTACCAATACCTTTAAATGGAGTAAATTCAAGACCCCAACTATTAAAGGGTCCCAAACAACTTCAACTTCTTTGTGGGGCCGGCTAGCCTTCAATACTCGCAGACTCTCTTTCAGTCCAGCCCCGTCACTGCATGGCTGTTTAAACTGGGTTTATGAATGCATGAAATGTGGTTTAATTGCACATCAGCACCAACCTTTCCCCCTTTTGCATGTCGATCTTTTTTGACGTTTTGGGGTAGAAAACTAGGTCATTTTATTTCAATAATTCGACACAAACTAGGTCATTTTATTTCAATAATTCGCGCGCGCACGGGGGTCTTTAGCAAATGGGAGGAACCCTTAAGACCCGAAGAAAAAGGTGTAATAGAAAATCAGAGTTGTATATACAGAGGTGGAGAGATGACTTTATTTCATATAGACAATAATATACCATCATAAATATTATAAATAATATTCCATCACGTTAAGAATAGTGGTCAAACAATAGGTTATAAGTCATAAACGCAATGAGTATTCTTTATAAAATTAATTAATAATATTTATTCTATCCCTTGGTCACGCGAATTATAACAGTAATTAATGAATGTACATTTCTTTTATATAAAAATCAATGACAATTAATAAATAATATCATGTATCTCTTCGACCACGTGGATACTAGTAATCAAACAATGTAGGTTTTTTTCTAAAATAAATGACAATTAATAAATAATATCATGTATCTCTTCGACCACGTGGATACTAGTATTCAAAGAGTGTAGTTTTTTTTCTAAAATAAATTACAATTAATAAATAATATGCATCTCTTCGACCACGTGGATATTAGTAATCAAAGAATGTAATTTTTTTCTCTAAAATAAATTACAATTAATAAATAATATCATGTCTCTCTTCGACGACATGGATACTAGTAATCAAAGAATGTAGTTTTTTTTTCTAACAATCAATGCATTATGCAAGAGCTAAATCTGCCTATTGCAGGTCTTTCTTTAGGCCTGAAATGTTTTCTAAATTATTATTTAGACACTAATTAATTAATCCAGGCCATAGTCAACTCTCGATGGCATCGGGTTTCTCCGATATTAAATAGATTGGAACAGTTCATCCATATTTTGATTTAAGCTAAAATCAATGGAGGAGCGAGACTTAGCTTCGAACAATCAGTACCGTGGTTGAAATTATTGCACACGTCTTGTCAAACCTTTAAAGACTAATATCTTCGCTCGCAATAGAGTAATTTGACTGAAATTTTCAAATTATTCATTTTACATTATCTATTTTCAAATTATTCATTTTGCATTAGCTATTTTTGAACTATTATAGCAAGAATGACTAGATCTTTATCTAAATCTTACATAATGTATCTTTAATAAATAAATAAATATCATGTCTATCTTCGATCACATTTCTAAATATTAGAACAACTGTGTTCAGAAAATATCAATCACAATATTTAGTTGTTTAAAGAGGATCTTACGTTGTTTGTATTCTATAGCCAATTAACAGCACGGCCATAAACTAGTTATGTAGTATTTATTAGCACACTTTCCGATGTGTATCGGTGAAGATGAGGATAGTTTTGGTCGAGGGACCTAGCCGAGGCGGAGCCGAGACGGCCACCGACCAAAAAAGGTGCTAATAAGTCACTTACATCACATTTCTATGGAGTATTGTGAAGCGAAATGTGAAAAATAGTATTTACACGTGCGTCTTGCTGCGTTACCCTGAGCGTAAAAGGTGCTAATAAGTCACTTATATCACATTTCTATGGAGTATTGTGAAGCGAAATGTGAAAAATAGTATTTACACGTGCGTCTTGTTGCGTTACCCTTAGCGTAAAACAGTCACGTGTTTTCATTAGACTGCACTCCGTATTGAAAGACGAAGTTGTTTTGACGAAGTCAATGAACATAGAGTCAACCATATCGTCAAAACAACTTGTCCCTGGCGTAGAGGACTGCAATTATATTAAATGTAAAGGACACTGCACAACGTGGGTCAATCCTGGTAAAGTGTGCATCGGTGGATGGTTCGTCCGTTGAAATTTATTTGTAATAAAATTTATGACTTTCTAGGCGTTTGTTTTCATCCTGCTGGTATAAAAGTGTTCGTTTGTCGGAAATGAACAGTACTCTTTATGGAAAGCGTACTGTTCATTTCTGATACACGGATACTTTTATACCTGTATTGGAAATAAACAGGACAGTTTTATCAAAGGTTGCCACTGGCAACGAGGTAGAATTGGGATGTAAGGGCAATTCATTTCACTATTAAATCAATATTTGAAACCGTTATTCTGATAGGAAGGGGGTTCATCATCAATACTATAAGGTGGCGGTCTTTGATTGTCTAATTGTCGTTGAAGATTAGTAATTCTATTTTCTAGATCTCTAACCCGATCCTCTCTGTTGGTAAATCCAAATACCCGAGCATATAAACAGAAAAATATCATTCCTGGGATACAAGTAATAGCGATAATAGCGCCAGCAACACAGTTGATAATAGCAAATATTAATATAATATCATGGTTTGGATTACAAAAGGAAATCGTTTTTACATCAGTAGATTTACAAACACCAATAGCCCAGCCAGCAAAAGCCGCTCCGCAAGAAGCAAACGAGACATTGGTTACATCGATAACGTAATGAATAATAACCTGAAATTTAAAAAAGAAAAAAAAAGGCCATGATTACAACTTTGTTATGTACCGGTCTGGCTAATGAAAACTGGCATACGCCATCAGTTGTCTCTTAGTTCAATCCCAACTGTCGGCGAATATGACGGACAGTCATATCACAGAATTAAAGCCACTGACCGCCATTGTCATATTTCTGGCAATATCTAATTATTCAAGGCTTAAAGATGCATTATGTATAGGATTTGGATAAAGAGGTGGACGTTCCAGCTATAATAGTTTAAAAATAGATAACGAAAAATTAATAAATGGAAAACTTCAAATTACTTTATTCTGAGCGAAGTTATGAGTGTTTGAAAGTTTCACAATATAGTCAGTATTGTCAAGTACCATTGTAACGACAATAAACAATGTCACAATTATCCATGGCGACGGTGCTTTAATCTATTCAAAATCACGGCCTTCAGATGGTCTAGGGAGTTGATTATGGTCTTGTCATGTGAATAAACTAATTAATTACTAATTAATTACTATAACATTTGAAGCCAAAAGAAAGATCTGTAGTAGGCACATTTAGCTCTTACATAATACATCTTTAATCCGCGCCTGTTCCCCAATCTCATTCAGATATCCTGAATAAAATATGTTTTGTTCATATAGTCTGTATATGCCAAATTTTCACCTCACCACATCTTTGTAAATACAAAACCGATTTGAACCATTTTTTGAATTGATGCTCTTTTTAGAGATCCAACTTTCATAGCTTTGTAGTTTGCAAGAAATTCAAAATACTTCAAATTAATGGCGATCGGTGGCTTTAAATATTTAAAAATAAAATGAAGCTTACATAACGTTTTGTTGGTACATCCACTTGTAACTGTGGTGTACATCGTGAGGTTTTCAGAGCAAAATATCCAGCAAGAATAGCCTGTAAAATATATTGAATATGATTAAAATGGAGGTGTACGCAGAAATGGAGAGGGCGAAAAATGTTTGTGGCGTAAAATGTAACTTGGTAAACAGAATAAAAGAGAGTGAAAAATTGTCGTGGTGTACAATGTAACTTGACAAATAAAGATTACGGGTGGAAAATTGTGTCCTACAATATGATTTGGTAAATCAAAAATGCGAGTGAAAAATTGTAGTGGGGCAATGTTACCTTTACAACAAACAAGCGGTTGCATGCAAGATAAGCCCATATTTTGCAAGCAATGGACAGAGAACAAGCTAAAAAAAAGGGTGATTTTGCGTACAATCTGAGGCCATAATTCTGTAAGTAATGATTCTGTAAGTAATGGTCTGAAATGCGCTAATATCGACAGACACTGAGATCTCTAGGATATAAACAAAATCGGATAAAAATTGTGACCTTTAGCGGGTCCACAACCTTCGTATTACATACTTTTACACTATTTGCGTTCAAGAAGCGGCCATTTTGTCGGGCAGTTTCGTTTTGATTTTCCCGAAATTCAAACTTAACCTTCATTATGGTGCAACAGTGACATATTTAAACGGTTTTTAAAATAGAATAAAAAATTGTGACCTTTAGAGGATCCACAAACTAAAAATGTGATTTTTCGTACAATCAGGGGCCATAATCCGCGAAATTATGGTCTGATGTGCGCGAATATCAAAAGAAACCAAGATCTTTGGGATATAAACCTATATTTCAAGTTTCGTCAAAATTGGATAAAACTTGTGACCCGTAGTGTGTCCACAAGCAAAATATAGACGGACGGACACACTCTATCAAAATCTTGTGGAATGTATTTAGTTTCAGATGTCCAATATCTTGTGGAACACTTGTGATGAAAAAGTTCCACATGAATGCCCCCAAACCTTGCCATAAATGCATTTTGTTGGGTAATATCGGTCCGATTTTTACGCATTACGAATTTCGAACTCAACCATCATCGGGGGTGTAGCGATGATATATTTAGACGATTTTTAAAATTGAATAAAAATTGTGACCTCTAGAGGGTCAAAAAGCTAAAGTCAGGGGCCATGATCCAGGAAGTTAGGATCCGATATGCGCGAATATCGAAAGGAACCACGATCTTTGTAATATAAATACGCGTTAAGTTTCATCAAAAATATATCAAAATTGTGACCTTTCGAAGATCACAATCTTGATATTACATACCTTAACACTATTTGCATACATGGAGCGGCCATTTTGTCCGCCAGTTTTGGTCCGATTTTCACGAAATTCGAACTCAACCGTCATAATGATGTAACGGATAAAAACTGTGACCTGTAGACTGTCTACAAACAAATTGTGGACGGACAGGGGCGACGACAATATACGTGGTCGTATAAAAATCAGGATCAAAAATTGTCGTGGCATACAGTGTTACTTGGTCAACATAAACAAGAGGACCAAAGGCAGAATACGTTCTCTGATTTAGAGATAAATGTCTTTTATAGTTGGTTGGATTCAACAAAATGTTTCCGTTTTTTTAGTATTGAATTTTATCCGAAAATATAACTTACCAATACACTGGTTAGTAGCGGAAATATGTCAATTACTGGATAATTAATCGTTTCAACCATAAACCCACAAACAAGCGCCCCTAGTGCTGAAACAAGGGCAATAAATCCTACAGATAACTGGAAAACGCCTATTCTTTTCATGAACCGAAAAGCGCGTTTCTGATATTCGACAGCTTCTTCGGTTCCATATTCTGAAAGAAAGCAGAGTTATTTAATCACGGGTGATCGTTGTTTTTAATGAACTTTATAACATTTACTTTCTAATCAACCCATTCCTCTTTTATCTCGTCCACAATATTCTAATCGACTGAGCTACATGTCTGCCTTGTATACGATATAACCTTAGTGGAAGCAAATGTTTAACGACCAAGGTACTACTGGGCGAAATCTATCTGTTAAGGCCAGCTCCATTTTCGTCAAGGTCGCTGAGATGTAAATAAGATTAGGGCACGTGATTGTTGGCGAGATTGTAGGTTAGGGTTAGGGTAAGCATTAGGGCTAGGTCCAGGGTTAGGGTTGGGATTAGCGCTAGCCCTGATTACATCTCGCGACCTTTGACCAAATTTGAAGTTGGCCTTAACAAATAGATCTAACCCTCCTACTGTTACTACATGTATGTGATAGTACTACTGTGAAAACAGACGTTAAATCACCAGCTACTATGTCTACATGAAAAATTTGACAGGCGATGATACTGGATTAATTACGGTGACCAACAATTTAGACCCATTTCCATCAATCGTAGGCTACTTATAAGAGAGAGAGATAGGGAGAGAGAAGTAGATGTATTCTGGACAGAGAGAGAGAGAGATAGAGATAGAGAGAGAGAAGGAGAGGAGTAGATGTAATCTGATACTGTATTTCTATAAAACGAAGAGCGAATCGACCTATGTACACAAACAATGTTATGTTTCTATGTAGGTCACGTGAGGTGATTTTTTCACAACAATGACTGACAGTTATAACATATATTTACCTGGACCACCACACGATACTTGTACAACAGTTTCCTTCATCTTTCTTTCACATGACACTGACAGGTAATCAGATCTTTTATCAATAAAATACCACAGGACATTCACGTTATAAATATAAATATAGATTAGGTTATCGTTGGTTTATCCTAAGACTGCGCCAAATATCGATTTCATCGCGCAAGGTTGATATAGTCACGTGATGTCAAGGTGTCCTATTTAACCCCCATTATTCTCTATTAATCCGCTGCCAAACGATATGTTATTTTTTTTTGGATTAAATAAAGGGAATGACTTTCCTACTAAACTAATCCGTGGCTAAAAACCACAAATGGAAAGACTGCAAAATCATATTCCAAAACTACGATAGGCTATGGTTGATTGTATAATTAGCCGAATGGTTAACGCGTGCTTGTTGGATCAGAAGGTCTGTCATTAAGTCAAATGGCGTGGTTTCGATTTCCCGCTTGTACGTGCACAAGGAGTAGGGTTGCCTGTCCAACCTTGTTGGTTTTCTCCGGGTCCCCCGGTTTCCTCCCACTGCTAAAGACCCCGACGCGCGAGCGAATTATTGAAATAAAATTGAACAATATGCTAGTCCGGAAACGACCTAGTTTGTGTCGAGTGGACGTTAAGCCCCATCCCTGGTGGTTATAAAATTTTTCGCATTTCGTAAGACTAGGGAAGCAGACAAGAGGCGTGATTTAGATGATATTGGAAGCCCTTTGTAAACTACAATATTGTAGAGAGAGAGAGAGAGAGAGAGAGAGAGAGAGAGAGGGAGGGTTTAACGTCCACTCGACACAAACTAGGTCATTTCGGGACTAACATATGTTTTAATTTTATTTCAATAATTCGCATGCGTGTAGGGGTCTTTAGCAGTGGGAGGAAACCGGAGGACCCGGAGAAAACCCACGAGGTTGGACAGGCGACCCTACTCCTTGTCACATACAACCGGATCGAAACCACGCCAGTTGACTCAATGACAGACTTTATGATACAGCGCGCACGTGGTAACCATTCGCCCCCCCCCCCCGATTTTCTAATAGGAATATCAGTCCAGAAATGTTTCAATTCAATTCTTTATTAACAAAAAAAAAAGAAATAAAAGAAAATTGACGAAGGAAATTCCATCGATTTATGATACCCCTTATGAAAATTGTACACCTATTTTATTTTCTCTTTCCTCTATTTTTTTCTTGACAGAAGCTGTCGAAGTTTAACTTTCCGCCATTTTACCATCTACGGTATTGCCAATTGCAAGTTTCAAAACGTCACCTAAATAAATTAGTAGCTGTTTTCCATAAATACGTGTTATATCTTAGTAGTAGCTGCTTTCCATAAATACGTGTTACATTTTATTAATATCCAGTTACTAATGCCCCTGAAAGAGTAATGCAGATAATGATGAGGAGATTGCCAAATGTTGTCCCCATTGTGCCTATAAAGATTGGAACCAACGGAATGTTGAGCAAAAAGCTACAGCCTGTGATGTTACAGCCATTTAACATTGAAGTCAATGGGCAAATAGTTGCTAGTCCGAGTCCATATTGTTAACTGGGTTGTCTCCCATTAATCTTGGACGCTTTCAAAACTAAATTGCGATAGACCATATTACTGCCTGTTCCAGGCGACACTACCACGAGAAAATTGCCTGCCATTTCTTCAATTTTTAATTAAAACGGCTAAAACTACCCTTTCCACGAAATACAAGTCTCCCATTTTACGCAGATGCATTCATAATGTTTATGTTTTGAGAAGGAAACATATCGAAATATGTGAAATTTACAAGAGGATAGTGGATTTTGTCAAATTTCTAGGCGTCAAAGCTTGACGAAGAGAGCAACGGGGTGATAATTTGAGGTATGTCACAAAGTTTTGGCCGTTTAAATTAAACACTGAACACATGTCGAGGAATTTTAGTGTCGGAGTATCTCCCGGAACAGACAGTAGTGTATATTTGGCAGTGTTTCCCAATTTGAGACCAGTTGAAAAATTGATTTACCACTTTTTGACCTAAGTGGAAACAAAGATGGTCGAAATTCGGTTTTTTCAAAGATTTTTATGAGATGTGGTGGCACACCCCATAAACTAAAAATCTAACCGAATTAAAGTAGCTAAGTCCGTAACTCAATATCATCCAAAATCTTCGACATTAAAAACACGAATATTTTTGCAATTTAAATCAGCATTGGTTTTGTGATATTACCTGGAAAAGATGGGCTTCTGATATCCAATATTTAAGACAAAATAAACATTTTACCATTGGTACACAAATCGTGTACCATAATGCGTTTCAGCGCCATTTGTAACAAGGTGGTCAAAGAATGAGGCTAGACATATTCCACAAGTCATGTCAAACGGTGATGCCATATTCTTATTTGGAGAGCATACGCAATATATACTATCGGTGTTGACTGGAATAACCAGACGCTAGAAACTGTCTTTCGGCTGAGACTTTTGGCGTATTTCGCCGAACATAACTGATGACAATTCACAGTAAAACGGACACGATTGAATGTAAAACAGTTTATATAAATTCATATTACATTATTATATGTGTTGCGACTCATTTGTGCCAATTTCTAGGTCCAAAATATTAGCGATTTAGCTCCTTTAACTAAATGCCGATATGTGAATGGGGAGTGTGGGGCGGGGTGGCTATTGAAGATTTGCGAAATGTTCAAAGGGATCTGCGAGTGGCACAATGTTCAAAACCACTGATCTACGGTTCCTTTTATCATTGTCTGTGAAATGCCTACCACTTTCGGGATATCCAAAATAGTTCTATTTGTCTGGGTTTTTGGGGTTTTTTTGTAGTTGGGCTCATGTTACTAACAACTTTGTTTGAATATACTCGACCAGTTTTCAATTTTATGATGTTATATACAGTTTGGAAACAACTTCCAGAATTTACAGTTCATTTCTTTTATTCAACATTTATAATAATGACCTCTTCTAATGACCACCAAATTTGAAGTCAATATATATCTTCGTTGTTGAGTTACAACAATAAACATGTCCAAAAATTGCCACTTTTTTGCGTTATGCTGTCTCACTTCAATAAACACTATTTTGAAACTCAAATTAATATATTTCTGTGACTTTTTTTGAAAAGGATATAAACGCATGCTTATGGAACATTTTCTATAATAAATTTTGGTAGTTGAGTTATACAAATAGATAGTGTATGAAGGGAGTTATGACTAAATTACAAAAATATGTGTTTCTGTCACATTTTCAGAAATACAGTGGATATGTGCCTGAAAAACACTGAAAACTTACAATAAAAATGTGATCTTCAGTTATATTATAAATTTCAATACAAGTGCAATTTTAAAATCTAAAATATTTTTTATTCATTTGAAGTTGAAGTTGATTTTCTTTCACTTTTTTTAAAGGTTACGGACACTACAGTGACCATACATACAGTGACCCATTCTTAAAAAGCTTCACAAAAGTGTATTTGCAACAGCTGCTGAAGCGAAAGAAGTATAAATTTTAATGACCAAAATATTGAACTATTGATATAAGAATTGCAAGGCAATTTATGTTTTCATCCTAATGAGACACTTTTGTCACAAACACCGTGTTTTAACCGACTTTGTTTTGTTTGTGTTTTGTTGTGCAGCTTCCCTCACATTATTGGTCTATTCGAATTACCTGGCAGTGTCGGATTTACCTATATGCTTGGCAGATGAAAGCCTACGACCCCCAGATCTAGGGGGAATCCGGTCCAGTCCACCGTAAGCCTTTTTTACACGGGCTGTATAGTCAAACATCTGGAGAACGCTAGATCGGAGACGGTCCTGCATATTTTAGCACATATGACGTCATATTTAGATTGTGGGTTAGGGCTAGGGTAAGGGTTAAGCTTGGTCCAGGGTTAGGTTTAAGAATTTGGGGGAGAGGTTAAGTCTCCACATAAGCACTGACCTAGGATGATGAAAAGTTAGTTCGCGATATTTCTTAGTTTTATTACAAAATACATGCAATACATTAGATTAATTTATAAAAGTAATTTCACTGTTTTTGGTGTTGGTGGCGGTGATGGTCAGCCTTGGATGGTACTTCTGGTATTCTGGTATTTTTGTTTCTGAAGAAGAAAAAGAATAAATTTGAGGCTCTCGGGGGAGAGCCACATTAGTGTGTTTCCTACTACGAATTGGATTTTCTATAAAAATCGTGTTTGTTCCACATCACCGGGTTAAGGCTAGGGATTCTTATATCTAGTTGATTTTATTTACTAACGATTAGGGATAGGATTTGATATATGGTTTGTTTTGGGTTAGGGTGGAGACTAGTCTTAATTAATCTAATTTACTGTGCACTAGGATATCGTGCAGATTTTTATTTTTTGAATATGCAATTATTAGTTTCTGTGTGAATATTTTCGGGTGAATTTCTTGGAGATCAGTATAGTGTTTTCTGATGATTTTGGATGCACTTGCTGCTGTTGTTTTCAATTTGTCAATCCAGAATTTTTCTCTTGTTAGCCTAAACGTTTTAATTTCTTCTGTAGTTTCAAAGTCGCTCTTGGTCTTTTCTATTGGCGTGACAATGAGATCAGAAATGTAGTGATTTGGTTGGTTGAAATGAATTGAGACCGGTTTGCCTTTTTTAGTGACTATGTCTGATCGGTGACCGTTAATTCTTTCCCTAAGTGCATTTTGAGTCTCCCCTACGTATTGCTTGTCACACTGTCTGCATGAAATTAGATAAATTATATTTGAACTACTGTATGAAAGTTGGTCTTATATTCGGAATTGTGTGCCAGATGTTTTGTTATGGAAATGGTCGGATATGTTTAAGATTTTGCATGTTTGGCATCTTGGATGGCCACAAGTTTTGGTTGTAACTGCTGATTGCATATTATTTGTTTCTTTGGCGGCAAGTTCAGCTAGAGTGTTGTTTTTAATACGACGTAGATAGCGTTTGGAGTATCCCCTTTCTTTTAGTTTGCCAAATACCAGCGTACATGCTGACTCAAAGTCGGTCTTCTGAGTACATATCCTATGAAAACGGAGAATCTGTGATTTTATGATGCCAGAGAAGGTATGTTTGGGGTGAAAGGAGCTCTTGAACAATAATTGATGTGTATCGGTTTCTTTGAAAAATACTTTAGTTTCCAGTTGGCCGGTGTTTTTGGTGTTGCTACTTTTAAAGATG